CTAGTGGTTAGGGTCTGTTTCAGTTAATAGTCCAATTCTTCTTATAAGTACTCTAATGATTGTCGCAGAGGAAAGCTTCAAAAGGTAACATCCTTAGACCTTCATGGAGTTTTAGGAATCGTCCATCGTTTTAAAGATGAACGATTCTTCAAGCATATTCACCAGACTGTGCAACCGTTATAGAATCATTCATATCAAAGAAAGGAGCTTCTTTCTTCTTCAAATTCAGGGCTGAGATTTGGGCCCTTTTGTCAACTTTGAATCGTCATTTGGTCAATGAAAACACGCTGTTGGTTTGGTATTTTCAATTTTTCTCAAACCTTTGTTTGCTTGAAAAATTGTTGCTCTAAAGCAGCTGTAATTGAATTTTGCTGAACAGCATTAGCTCAAAGGAAAAGCCCGCCCATCAATAAATAACGTCGGCCTTAGCCGTAGGAAACTTTTTGCCATTTGTATATAAATGAGCCGATACGTAATGAACATATAATTTTTCTTAATTACTCTGTTTGTTCGAAAGAAAAATGACGGAGCTAAAAATTAATGACCGAGATAGAAGCGAAACTAAAAGCATTATATTGAGTTTCAAACGGTTTCGGGAACCAAACTATTGATCATTAACGTTGAAAGAGATATGGGAGGGGCCCCGTGTAGCAAAAGGCCCCCATGGATTTTACGATGTATTAAATTTCTTCTTGATTATACGTTCACGCTCTTATGATTTTTTCTAGACAAGGATTAAAAACCAGATTCGTTTTCGAGATAAAATGCTTTTTTCTGCTTTGCCCATAACACGTAGCTTAATGTGAAATTTTCTGGGCTTATCTTTATTATTATTTTACATAAATTATCTGCCAAGGCAATCTGACGGCTCTTAAAATGTTTCCTTCGTTCGTTTTATTTGGAAGGTTGACGGGTTTTAAGTATTTATCAGTGCTTAGTAAAGTATGCTCTTATGTTTACTTTCTCAATTTTATTTTTGTGTATAAATACGTCCCTGCAATGTTTATTGAGCAAATGGCTACATCGGTTTAAACTAGGGCAAATATATACATCAGTTTGTTTAGAAAATGTAAAGAAGACATAATTAAATGGGCAAATTTGCATAATTTCCGCTCAAGCTAAAGTCTGGCGTCATATTTGCAGTTGTAAAACCCGTTGCTGAAGTACATCTGCGTTTTGCCATGCTTGTGAGTCTTTACTAAATCAAAGCCAGACAGGAAAAGTTATTAAAACGAAATCTACATAATTTTATTAGATTTGAGACTATTTGGAACTTAACGGTGCTAAGTTGAAGAAACCAGGTTGATTTCTCCGACTATTAATATATGAATGTCTTAATAGTCCACTTCATGTTGCTAAATCATTTAGCTAATAATTACCCATTAGCAAAAGTGCACTAATCGTAATGACGCCGATATTTATTTCAATATACTTCACTACACTTTGCCACTTTTTACAAGCCAATTTTGCCCTGAAACGTTCTTCACGTGAATTGCTTAATTTCGAGTCTTATTAGCTTTAATACGCGCATTGTCGGCAATTAAATACACTATAAGCGGCAATTAATGCCGACGTAATTGCATAATATGGCCTGAACGACATCCTACTAAATTCCAAATTATTACGCTAACAAGCTGCCCAAAAAAAAAATTCTGAAAGTTTAATTAGCCGACAAGGAAATTGCCATTGGGCAACATCAGAAGTGAGTACATGTTTTGAGTTTGATTTTTGATTTTCAACAAAATCCCGTTGATGATGGTTCAAAGGCTCCAGGCCGAAGCCCATTTGAAAATTTGTACCTACTGAAATCAGTTTAATCAACCTTTCACATCAACAATGTCCAAGTCAGGTCAGTGAAGTGAAAAATGGAAATATTCAGAGGTACAATGGGGCTAGAAAATCCCGTGTGGAGGGTCCAAAATCCAAAAATTAAACACATACAAATTGTTAAAGCCCTACCATTATGTTGTGTTTAATCTCAAGGAAATATTTTACAGTTCTCATCCCTTTTTGATCGTAGCACTGTTAAGAAATATGCCTTTTGAAAGCTTTGAATAGCGCTCAAGAGACCCCTTAATCTGTTAATCAAATCGTGGACGTGCACCTGAACTTGAAAAGTCAATGTTTCGTGTTTGAATGCCCGATAATTATCTGCATGTTATTAATAATCGATAACTATCAATAAGTCTTTGACTGTACGTTCTCGGCTCAATGCAAAGATAATTACAAAGATACCAATGCTAAGAATATTTGGTCTAACTGTTTTTGATAAATTGGCTCTAATGAGTATGTTCTGTGTGGATTTATTATCGTGTCATCGGATTCATGTCAGTATTTTATGTGGTTTCACTGCAAATAAAAACAATCGGACGCGTTCCATAAGCAATAGACGAAATAATCGCGATATAATTACAGTAAAAACAAATTGCGAATCGTATGTTCTCATGTGACGGTATTGCGAATGAAGTTGTTCCTCATAGTTGATTGGAAGTTAACCTCCATTAATCACAATTAATCAGTCAGTTTGATTTATAGTAAGATTGTTTCGTTGAATGTCATCAACAAGCTTGAATCATTATTTGCGTTGAACTTTCCGTTCGTATTTGTATATCAATAGAGGATTAATTTTGGTAAACCTTTCTTGCATAAGTCAATTTGCAACAACGAACGCTACTAGCGCTTGTTTACGGCACATTTGCAAAAGTGGAACAAAGAATGATGATTTTAGAGGCAAATGAATCATAAACACAAAACGTCTGGGAGCAATATAGTTTGTAATAAATTTAAGATATCATATCGTGTCGCTACTCTATTATCCGTTCTGTCGTGAACATAATTACGTATTTGTTCAGGTCGTCAATTCCTTAATCAACTATTATGGAGTGTAATTGCCCTCACTCGATTATACATATACAATAATAAATATCTGTCCTTCTGTAGCATGATTTATGGATTTTCCATCGCTTGCGCCACATTTTCACACTGGTCTGGATTAGTTTCCAAATGATAATTACATTAATCAAGTTTGTCCAATTTCTTCTGTTGGCAAAGTGCGGGTTGTTGCCCAATAATTTTTGGGCAATTTGCTATTTTTTAGTCGGAAAAACGGTCTAGACACATGGACATGTTGCAAGCTCAACAGGTAAAGTTGCAGAAAAATAGTTGAACTCACTTATGAAACAGCTCAAGGAGTTAAAATGGAACGAAGTATTGGGTCTCATGAGTAAAAAGAAAAAGTGTTTGCTTCTAGTCGAAGCAAGAATTTCCTATACGGATGCGTGCAATCCAGAGCTCCAACTGCGATTGAAGGCATATTCACTTGCTGCCAAAGACGTATTTTCTCATGGGAAGATGGCAAGTTGATTCACCGATCTGCGCTTTGCCAAAACTTTGCTGGTGCCTCAGCAAGGGTTTTTGACACAATACTTTGATGAATTCCAGTCATTTTCCTTACGCGGTTTTGGTCACCCGGCGATACTTTGCCAAACACTTTGTTGCTGGAATAAAGTGGACACACTCTTAATGTATGAATAAAAG